TATGCAGATGTTCGATGGATATAATAACCATGTTGCAGACGGGACCGATGTTCTGATACATATTGATGGTTATCGTATTGAAGACTGGATGGGCATCAAACGTAAGGTGTGAGAAGCTTATTCTAGTAAAGCATAGGAGTCTCTGTCTGACTTATTGAGTGCATTTACATAGTATATCGTATTCTCGCCATTGTATCACTATTTGGATGACGCAGTTTCTTAAATGGTGTGGGTTTGGTTTTATTGAATCTTAAAGTTCTTTCATTATTTGATAGGTTGATGGTCGTGGCTGCATTGATCTCTCTGGCATTCTTAAGGTCACAGAAGGCTATGGGAAATCTGGTAACGTGATCTTTTCACTTTCTATATTTTCCGGTGTCATTCCCTTTTTGATGATTTGCTGATTGTCTAGCGTCTTTGTTTCTCTACAGTATCACTCTCTGTAGTGTCTGGTAATGAAGTGATCTTCAGGAAAGAAGAGTCTCAAATTGAGGAACGAGAGCTAAGACTTGTAACCGAGGTAAAGATTCTTTTGGTGCAGTTTGGTTTTGTTTCTTGCCACCAAGCTTTTGTCAGGAACTTGTCTCTCTACTCTCTTCTGATCCTGAAATTGTTTGTATTGATCAGCTGCCCGACTGCTGTGCTGCTGGTTCAAATCTCGTGAACCTCATCTTCCAAGTGACGGATTCAGATGGTTCTTTGGATACTCGCATCCATCATGACGAAAAATCCGGGTGTTTCCATACGATGTGCATTGAATCTGATTCAAGCAGCGTTGAGAATGCAATCAGATATGCCTTTGTCCACGGGTCCTGCAAAGTTCCTTCTCTTTCTCTACCTGAGAACGAGGGTGTCTTTTCTTACAGGGTGTTCCATTCTCGATATCCCGAGCTGCATATGAGCGTAAAGGTAGTAATTTAGTAATTGTGAATTGGGTATATACTGCAATATGTTTCTACTGTGGGTAGAATGTTCAGTTCAAGTTCGTGTTAACTCACTTTTTCACTCTGATTCTGTTGTATTCAATTTTCGGATTCAGGTAACATGTGCTCCCACATTTGAAAGAGATGAGATTGGGTATTCGACACCGCATTCAAGAACAACTCCACCACCTGAATCAGGGATGCCTTCAATCACAAATTCATCGGTCACTCCATGTTCACAGTTTGGAGTTTTGGCCATTAGGTCATCATCATTGGCTCTCAGTAGCCAAACTGGCCTGATGGATATAGCACAGTACACTGAGGTATGGCCATCACCATTTAAGCGGCAAATATTGATATTTCTCTATCATTTATACCTTAGTGCAAGCAAAAAAACATCTAGAATGATCTAGCTTTTGTATTCCAAGTTCATCTCAGCCGCATGTGTGAAAATGTTCCTTTCTTACTGCAGAGTTTAAAAGAAACAATCAATAGTGACGAAGAACTCCGAGTTGAATTAGATAAGTGCCTAAAATGTTTGCAGGATCAACATGAACATGCTGAGCAAGAGTGTAGTAGACTGCAAGGTAACTATTATCTTGATTTGTCAACGTTTGATAACTATGATGCATTGGTTCTATTTTTTCATTTGCTTTCTGTTTTTAAAACACTATCCCTAAATTTGGTGTCTAAAACACTGCCCACATCTTTAGTTCTGAGATGCTTCATACTTAATGAAGAGTTTCACATAATGTTTATTAGAATATGTCTTATTTTTCTAATTCAAAAGAATGGCGGATCATAGCATAAACTGGCAATTCTTACCTGTTCATGTGAATTTCATCTCAGCTTCTCTGGAACCTCTTGGTGCATCATTTCCAGAATGCCTATCCACCAAAGAATTAATGATGAAGCAAATCGAAGATAAGCATCATGACACTGCAGCATCAGTGTTCTGTTGTCTGTACAGAAAGGCTCCGCCTCCACAGTCACTGTTGCTGTCAAAGAAAGGAATGTTTGGCCTAGTAGCGCTGCTCGGTTCAGTTGCCTCAACGTCACTAAGCAGGTGACATTGATTTTATAGCCACAGTTTTTCTGATCATACTCACAGTTTCTACACTTGGGCCAAATCTTCAATTTCCTAAGTTATTTGGTATGACAGGGTTTTGTCTGAATATTTGGGGAAAGACACAATGCTTTCGTTGGTGTGCAAATCATCACACTTTGGACCCAAAAGCGATGAGTATCGCAAGCTTCAATCTGAAGCAGCTAGCCTCGGACGATCTATCACCAATCGGTTTCTTGTTATTTGTCTTGATGCAATTAGGTATTTTTGTACTCTTCCTTTGATATTTGGATTTCTGGTTAATCTATTGCTTAGCCAAATGTTTTCTGGTTCAAAACATGCAGACCTTGGAGGAACGGACTTGTGAAGAATGATCCTCAGAAGAGATTAGCCATGGATAACCCTTACCTGCCGAATGGAGATCCTATACCGGGCTTCAAAGGCTATGCCGTGAACATGATAGATTTAGCTTCAGAGGAGCTGAATATACAATCAAGCTCGGGTTACGGGCTCAGAGAGACGCTGCTCTATGGAGTTTTTGGAGAGTTGCAGGTATATGAGACCGGAGAGCATCTTGAAGCAGCTCTTCCTCACATCAATGGTGGAGACGCTGTGTCTCTAGATGGTGTGATCGCCAGAGAAAACGGTTTCATATAATCCGGTCGCTGGTACATGCAGTTTCTCTTTATCCTTAAAAACTCATTTCAGTTATTAAGTTTGGAACTGTAAAGCTTGGAAGCCTAGAAACTCATTTCAGTTATTTTTTTTAATCTGTCTTGGTTTTTGTGAGTGTTGATGATTGTTTTTTGGGCTTGTGTCAGTACACCGGAAGTTGATTTTCCAATAACCGTAACGGAGAGGCAAACGAGAAGACATTGGTGCAACTGGAAATAACAAGAGACAAGAAGAGAAAGGTTGAGCAGATGATGACTGAGGAGAATTGTAAGTTGCGTAAGGTGGTGAAAAAGTTGAAGAAGGCAAATGAGAAATACCAACATTTTACTGCTATGGCAGATTCTTCTTATTCTTAGGTTCTATTTTTAAAAAGTACTTTTGTAAATAGCTAAAAATTTGGTAGTTACTAAACGTTCTGGATATTTTGGCAAATATAAAAAGGTTTGGTGTTTTGCCGAAAATATTAAAAGCTAGAGGTACTTCTGTGAATAGCAGAAGATATGGGTACTTAAGTAAAATTGAATATCAGCTTAAAAATCAAATCAAGTGAAATGTATTACAGAAAAGTTTCAATTTTATCCGATCCTAATGATAATAACATAACATCGTCACTATTTTATCTAAAAACACAAAATTCATTTTTCGTTTAAAAGATTACGGCAAGGTGATCCACTATCCCCATATCTATTCATTCTTTGCACAGAGGTTTTGATTGCTAATATTAGGAAAGCAGAAGAAACTAAGGCAATCACTGGTATTAAGGTGGCAACTCCGAGCCCGGCGATTTCACATCTACTTTTTGCAGATGATAGTTTGTTTTTCTGTAAGGCAAACGCCCAACAATGTGGGGAGATTTTAAGAATACTTCGACAGTATGAGTCGGTGTCGGGTCAACAAATTAATTTTGACAAATCTTCTCTCCAGTTTGGTCATACCATTGGAGATGATGTACAAAATGAGGTGAAAACAGTATTAGGTATTACAAAAATAGGCGGCATGGGTTCTTACCTCGGATTACCGGAAAGTTTGGGTGGCTCGAAAACAAAAATTTTCTCGTTTGTAAGAGATAGACTACAAAGCAGGATAAATGGATGGACGGCAAAATTTTTATCGAAGGGAGGGAAGGAGGTAATGATTAAATCGGTGGCTACTGCGTTACCGACTTATGTCATGTCCTGCTTTAGACTTCCTAAAACAATTACATCGAAACTAACAAGTGCAATAGCTAAGTTTTGGTGGAGTACAAATGGGCAAACAGGAGGAATGCATTGGCTCGCTTGGGATAAAATGTGTCATAGTAAAGCTGATGGAGGGATAGGATTCCGGAATGTGGATGACTATAATACAGCTTTACTAGCAAAGCAATTATGGCGGCTGATTACGGTTCCTAACTCCCTCTTTGCGAAGGTCTTTAAAGGAAGGTACTACAGGAAGTCGGATCCAATGGATCCAATTAAATCATATTCTCCATCCTATGGATGGAGAAGTATTGTTTCAGCTAGATCTCTGGTTAATAAAGGACTAATTAAAAGAGTTGGTTCTGGTGAATCCATTTCAGTATGGAAAGACCCATGGATTCCAGCTCAATTCCCGAGACCAGCACAAAGTAATGGTTCAATTTCCGAACCTTTACTCCAAGTTAAAAACCTTATCGATACAAGGACAAACTCCTGGAATATGGATAGTTTAAACGCTATTGTGGATCCGGAAGATGTTCAATTGATTAATGCTATACCCCTGGGGAAGCTGTCAAACCCAGATGTTATGGGATGGCATTTCACAAAATCTGGTAAATATACGGTTAAATCAGGGTATCATACAGCCCGTCTTAATAATCCAAAGGATTCTTCTATCTGTTGTTTCGGACCAGATATTACACCACTAAAAGCATTTACGTGGAAGATAAAGTGTCCTCCTAAATTGAGGCATTTTATGTGGCAGGCTTTAAATGGATGTGTTTCGGTTACATCAAACCTCCGAAAACGTGGGGTTAATTGCGATGTAGGTTGTGACAGATGTGGGGATACTGAAGAGACAATTAACCATGTCCTTTTTGAATGTCCGCCTGCACGCCAAACATGGGCTTTATCACAGATTCCAACGGCCCCCGCAGTTTTTCCCTCAGGTTCACTATATGCAAACATGGATTATTTATTTTGGCGAATATCATCGGATGTTTATAAAGCTACGTTTCCATGGATAATTTGGTATTTATGGAAAGCACGAAATGATAAAATTTATAATAATGTGGATCAAAGTCCAGAAGAGATTTTGCGGTTAGCAGAGAATGAAGAGCAAGCTTGGCAGTTAGCTCAGGTGGAAATACCGGATGACGTTGTAGACTCGGTAGTGGGGAATACACACTCACATTCCATGATTGACGAGCAAAGGCAGGTTGGAAATGGGTTTCAGTGTTATGTAGATGGGTCTTGGAAGGAGAGTGATCGATTCTCCGGATTAGGTTGGTTTTGTTCTAACCCGAATGATGGAACGCAAGACATGGGAGCTGCTAATCTTCGAAGAAGCTTAACCTCACTTCACACAGAGGTCGAAGCATTAATTTGGGCGATGAGATGTATGATCGGCCAAGACAAGAGAGAAGTAGCTTTCTTTACAGACTGCTCAGACCTGGTGAAGATGGTGTCTTCCCCGCAAGAGTGGCCAGCGTTCGCAACATATTTAGAGGCGATTCAGAGCGACAAGGAAGAGTTCGACGTATTCTCATTATCTTTAGTTTCTCGAAATGCGAATGTGAAAGCGGATAAACTGGCACGTAATGTTCGTACCCAGCCGCAACTTATTACCTATGTAAACAACTTACCACGACATTTGCTCATTTGAGCCAATTTAATATAGCTGTTGACAAAAAAAAAAAAAAAAGTTTTCTTGAACAATTCACATATATTTTTGTTTGTCTTGGCTAATGAAGCCCCAAAAAATAACCAAGAAAAACTCTTCTTTTTTATTCTTCAAAATATACATTTCCGACTCTTCATTACTTACCTTACTCCTTGACTCTTCGTCTCTTCCTCTTCCTATTTTCCCAACACTTTCACTTCTTCTTCTTCTTCTTGTGCAAAATCTAAGGTATCGGAAGTTAATTTCACTGCCAAAACCTAAGAATAGTTCATCTGAAGGTTGTAATAAAGTTTATGATTATATTCATGTGGTCTTTTGTTGTTGAAAATCTTCTTCTCTTACAAATCCATGCATGGTAATGTATGTGAATGTGTAGATCGATTATGCTATTAAGTGATATATTGGCTTCTTCTTCTTCACCGCTACCTTCTCTCTTACGAGTAAAGTAAAACTTTAATGTTCCCATCTTGGCTTGTTTTATTGAATATATAACATGCAAATCAATCTACATAGATTCTGTTTATTTCTTTCTCACAAATATTCAACTTCTTTTTTGTTTTTTTTTTCAAGTGCGGTGATTATAGGCACTTGTATTTAGTAGATATTACTTGCCTTCTAAGTCACCAAACAATTGTTAACAATATAATTTTTTTGTCATAAATCATGAGCTAAATTAAAACTAGTAAACTAAAATAATACACCAAGTCATAAACAAAAATTATTGGTTTTTGCCTCACTTCAAAACCAATTAAGATGACATTTTTGATAAATTTCCTTTCTTGATTTATACTTCAGAAGTCAATGTTGGTTTTATTTCCACAAATTGTGGATTCTTAGTATGGAATCTTATCGTTCTTGATTACACATTATTTGATTTATAAAACAGCTCGTTATATATATATATATATGTTTCATAGTTACAGAGTCCATCACCAAATCAGAGATACATAAAAGCCAACAAAACAAACTCCAAGTCTTGTACATCTATGAACACAATCGACCAGATTTAAACATTTCTCCCTTTTCAGAGGATTAGGTCGCAAAGAGAATCTTACCAATGTGGTTACTACTCTCCATAAGGCTATGAGCTTCTGCTGCTTGGGACAATGGTAAATACTTGTGAATCACTGGTTTTACCTTCCCCGCTTCTATCGCTGGCCAAACATTCTTCTCGACTTCCGCAACAACAACAGCTTTGTTTTCTATGCTCCTTGGTCTCAACACAGCTCCTGTAGAAAAAAAAATATAAGATGCCAAATATGAGAATGGATTAGTCTTCTCCACAGAAACAGAATCAACAACGGCAAAACTAAACACACCCATTGTACAAAAACTCATTAGAAACCAATCCATTGCATCAAAATCAAAGCTAAAACGAAAACTGAGAACACAAAAGCTAAAACGAAAACTGATTCATTCAAACAATCTCTGAAGCATCATAGACAATCCAACACTTATCAACAGCCTTATCTAACCCAAGCTATCAAAAACAAGTAACAATAGTGGATATATGACAAACCCAATTGATATCCAAATCAGAAGAATCTAAAGAAACATACTAACTGGAAACAACTTGAAGGAAAAAAAAGTTTTTTCAGAAACTCTAAATTGGCCAACCATCGTCTCCTATTTGCATAACCTAGTTCTGATTAATGATCAAGAGAATCATCCACGAAACCGCAATTACACATTGTTACCAATCGAAAAGCAAGATTTCAGGATTGTTGAGGAAAAGATTAAAACTTTCTTTTGCAAGAGTACCAATTCTCAAAACTAAGAGGAGATATTTAATTTTTTTTCACAAATCCGGAGCAAAGAAACAGCGAATAACCAAAACCCAGATTCGAACTTTCACAAATCTCTTACGCATCATGAGAAAGTTAGAGACACACTGATAACTTCCACAGTCCAATGGATCATCAACTAACCCATCAATCGTTCAATGCATAAATCTATCTCTTCTGAAATGAAACGGAAGCAGAGCGATTGAGAGATACATAGAGAGAGAACACAAGACCTTGTTGTTGATGTTGTTGAGAAGATTGAAGAGATTTTTCGTACTGTTCAGCCTTTTCAATCTTCAAAGCTAAGTTCCAGTGACAAGTAACCAAAGGCCAATAATCCCAACACCACCACCGATGATCGAATCGCCATCGGCTCTCGCCAAATCTCCAGAATCGGAAGAAAAAGAAAAACAAAAACATTTGCTTTAATTTGTTAAAAATAATCAGCCAATCACGACATGCCACGTCATCGCCTCTCTCTGATTCCCAAAACTCTCGATTAGAGAGTGGACTCTTTAGATAATTAT